GGGAGGAAGAGGAGGGAGAGGGGGAGGCGGGGGTGGTGCTAACGCACCATAGGACAGAGTAGAAGGCCCCGGAATCGGAGCTCTAGGACTTGGATTTGACAGATTGCCTGGAGGAGGAGCCGTGCCCGTGTGTACCGGGCAGGTGCCTGTGTGCCCGCTGTGTCTCGGGTGTCTGTGTGCTGTGGGCTGTGGACGGCCAGCCCTTCCCTGGCCCATCTGTGATTTCCACCTCCCTGGCTCGGAACGCAGAGGGTGCGGTGGTGGGCCTCACGCCTGGGCCCGGAGTGTCCACGGGGCCAGCAGGTCATCCCTGAGGGCTGGGCTGAGGCGCCCTTGATGGCTGTGGCTCTCCCAGAAGGGCACAGCAGGTCTGCCTCCGGCCCGAGGCTCCCGTTGGGGCAGGGCATGGATGTGGGGCTGAGGCTGAGCCCCGACGGGTATCAGGGTGGAGCTGTGGATCTGTGCTCCGGTGTTTGTGTCCAGGGATGAGCTTGCTGGTGCCATCTGTGCAGGCAGATGTGCAGCCATGTCACTGGCCTTTGTGTCCCTGTGTCTCTGTGTGGCTGAGAGAACTGGTTTGGCCCAGCTTCCCCAGCGTGGAACCCTGTCCCAGGCACTTAACAGGCAGTGAGTGTCCTCACACACTCCTGGGGGCTATGTCTCATTGCCTCCATTTCAGAGGTTGGGACAGAGGCTCAGAGAGGTTAAGCTATGAGCTCAAGGTCACCCAGCTGTGAGCCCAGGCTAGTCCCCTTGTGCGGTAGGAGTGCAGGTGGGAGAGGGGTCAGGGATTGGGCTTTCTCCTTTTTTGGCTTCTGTCCTGTTCTGCTAGTACAGGAGAAAATGCTGTGTCACAGCAGGGTACAGGCCAGGGAGAATGCTGCTGTCCCGCCCCAAGGCTGGCCCCGGGGCACCTGGAGTGCGGGCTGGTGGGGCGGGGAGGACCCTGTAGTGGCTGCCTTGGGGGGACCCGTAGGTGGGGAGCAGGATGAGGGAGACTCAGCAAAGGAGGTGGGCGTCCCGGATGTCAGCTGCAGCCTGGGGGGCCTGGCTGATTCTTGGTCTGAGCTGCCAGCACGGGGCACAGCGCTCCCAGTGTTGGGCGCAGAGGGGTGGGCGGGCAGCTCGGGAAGGCGGGGGGGGGGTGCTGTCTGTACCCCCGCGTAGGATGGGCTCCCTTGTAGCAATCTGCCGTCTTAGTGGCATCAGTGCTGGTGGAAAGATACCTGCTTTACACCCTGCAAGTTCTAACTGTGGCATGCTTTTTAATTTTTTTGAGACAGGGTCTCACCACGTCACCCAGGCTGGCCTTGAACCACTCGGTAGCCCGGGCTGGCCTCAGTCTGCAGGGTTCTCCTGCCTCGGTCTCCCAAGTGCTGGGATTACAGGTGTCAGCCGCCCTGCCAGGCCTGCCAGGTGGCCTGAGCCCTTGATGCGCAGCCTCCTTAGATTCTGAGCTCACCGTCCCGTTACGCCAGTGTTGGCTATCGCGGTCGCGGAAAGTAAAGGGTGAGTGATAGAGTCTACACGTCAGCTGGATTACTGTAAAGTTCTGAGCGGTTGTAAAAATCGTTTTAAATTTATCTCCTACTTGAGCTAGGTTTTTGGGGGCAGGGGGGTAATGTCTATCAGCCGTTTGCAGTGGTCATCATTCAAGAGACTTGAACAGGACTTACCTGTAGTCATGTCTTGCGCATTAAAAGTTGTGCTATGCCTGTAATCCCAGGTACACAGGGGGCTGAGGCAGCGGATTGTAAATGAGAGACCAGCCCAGGCAATTTAGAGAGACTATGGTCTCAAAATAGAAAAAAAATTTAAAAGGCTGAGAATGCAGTTTAGTGGTAGAGTACCTCTGGGCTTTTTTTTGTTGTTTTGTTATGTTTTGTTTCCGGTACCAGGAGTACCTCTGGGTTTGATTCCAAGTACAAAAAACAACAACAACAAAAACAACCAACCAAACAAATAAATAAACAAAAACAATTGTGCTCACCAAAGCAACCTCAAGTTTCTCATTTTGAGAAATTTAGATTTCATTCAATTTTTTGTTTCTTTTCTGATACTGGGAATCAAACACAGCCTCTTGCTAAGTTGCCTACCTGGGATTCGAACTTGAATCCTCTTGCCTCTAGACTCCCAAAGTGCTGGGATTACAGGCGCACGTCCCCACGCTTTGCCATTTGGACGTTTTATACAAATTCAGTATTTAGTATCTTTCCTGTTCCCACGTGTTTCCTTTTTCTTGTAATTACACAGGATAAAGAAAATGTAATTGTCTGGCCTTGGTTTGCTCTTCACCAGGTTCCATATGGATGTCGTCTGAGCCCCTCCGTCTCCGAGCGTCACACACTGCTGTGGGCCTCGTGTCCAGGTCCAGGGCTGTGAAGGACGTCAGGAACCCCTGCCGTTGAAGGTGAGCGTGGAGCTGGTGCCCAGTAGGCTGGGAATAGGGGAGCATGGGGCGGCCTCAGAGCGCACGCTGAGGCCGAGAGCCTCCCTGTCCTCTCACAGAGGGTTGCAGGCTGCCTGGGAAGCTTCGGCTCAGTGCTTGTGACAGTCTGCCCAGGGTCACAGGAGGAACCCTGCAGTAGGAGGTGAGGCCATGAGGGTGGCGCTCCGACGAAGGGGCTTAGTGCCCTGATTGAAAGGACCCAGAGCTGGGCGTGGTGGCGCATGCCTGTAATCCCAGCACTCAGGAGGCTGAGGCAAGAGGATCGTTGTGAGTTCGAGACCAGCCTGGGCTACAAAGTGAGTTCAAGGCCAGCCTGAACTGCACAGGGAGACCCTGTCTCAAAAAGAAAAACAAAAATAAAGAAGAGAAAGGACCCAGAGGTGGGTGTGGTGGGCATGCCTGTCATCCCAACACTCTGGGAAGCTGAGGCAGGAAGACCAAAAGTCCAGCTTGGGCAATGAGGGACTTAGTGAGACCTTGTCTCAAAATAAAAAATAAAGAAGGGCTGGGGTGAGGGTGAAGGCCCAGAGTTGAATTCTAGCACCTCAAAAACACACAAGCGAACAAAGAACGGAACCAAGGGTTCTCTTGCCCTCCTTCCACAAGGGAGGCGTCTGGCAGGGAAGAGGCTGCACCCTGACGCCTTCCACCCCCAGGGCTGTAGGGCGCAAGCATTTAGACCACCCGGCCGGGCCTGTGGGCTTTGTTATGGTGGTACACGTGGCACAGGTGGCTCTGAGCAGCCCCTGCCCTCACAGGGCCTGCCTGGAAGGCCGCTCCTCCCTGCCCATGCGGGTTTTCTCCCGTTGCCGGAGGCCTTGCCCGAGCACTCTTTTTTTTTTCCCCACTGAACAATCAAGTTTTTCTCTCATGAGCAACCTAAGCAGTGATGGGGTTGAATTCACAACCCTGCCCCACGCTGGCCCGGGACCGCGAGCCTGTCACATGACCTTTGAGTGCCTCAGCCTCCCCTCTCTGCACCACGGAGGTCATGGAGCCTCCCGTGCTGTGAGGAGGTGAAGCGGTGAACGCACCGCCGTGTGAGGTACGCGGTGACCCCCAGCCCAGGGCACGGGATGCTGTGACAGCCACAGCGGCCAGCAGTGCGGTGAGCTTCCATGTGCGTTTGGAGCATCTGCATTGGGCCGTGCAAAGGGCCTGTGGGGACAGCTCCCGCCTCCCCTTTGGGGTGATGCCCACTTTGCAGAGAGGAGTGGCAGCGTGTGTTGCCCGCATAGACAGGGCATCTGAGTGCGGGTGACAGGGGCAGGAGCAGAGCTGCCCAGGAAGCTGAGGGCCACCAGGCTTGTCACCAGCGGCCGGAGGACTTCACTGTGATGCTGAAGATGGTGTCCAGGGCTTCTGCCGCCAGGCATCACGCACAGCCCCAGGCTTCGCGCGTTACCCCAGGAGGACGGAGGCGACATGTCTGCCACACCCCAGCCGTATCGGGGTGCTGGGCCAGGACTACAGCTCACCGAGGGTCCTGCTCAGAATGTAACTGTGTTAGTCAGGCCGGGCAGGGAACATCCGGACAGGGAAAGCCAACGCATCGGTGGTCACTTATAGAGAGCCCTCCCAGGCCTTCCCGGATTTGGGAAGTTTATATTTGTAATCCCGCTGGAATCGTAGAGGGTTAATTCCAATCTACCACTACCAGTGCATCGCATGGCAAGCATAAAGTCATTAAGGCGTGTTTGTAGTCGTGGGAAGCCAAGGGATCCTAAGTGCAGCTATGGTGATGGCCATCCGGAACAAAGGCCAGGACCCAGGGCTGAACCCAGGATCTGTTCACTTGTCAAGAGAGGAGTGGCTTGGGGATGAGTGACTACAGTTGCGGCGGGAAGTATGCGAGTGCCGTCAGCTGGGCGAGCTGGAGGCCTTAAATCACCTCTGCGCCCTGCAGAGAGAAGGATCTGCAGAAGGAGTAACCCGCACAACATAGTTCGAGGTAATAGCTAATGTTTTGGGGTCGGTACTTCAGCTCTGATGCGTGATCTTTCTTGCCCTGGGAAGTCGCAGCCTCTTACCTCGAGGCTTGATTCCAGCGGACAGCATGGAGCGGAGCAGGGCTCTGTCTCCCACCGGCCCAGCTCACACACGTCTACTTGGGAGCTGGGTTGGGGCACGGGGAAGCACTGCCCTCTTGCCTTGCTTTAAAGACTACACATCAGCCTTCAGCTAGGCCCATTTGCATTGCTTAGAGCCAACTAAAGGGATAAAGACAAGACTTGGCCAACTGTGCACACATCAGTGCAAGGAAACAGAGCTGGTTAGCCAAAATGGAGACAACTGCTCTTCTTTCAAAGGCAGTGGTCCAGGCGGTCCTCCACGGCACGCAAGTGCGACATGAGGGAGGCACACGGCAGAGGGGGGAGGCCCTGCTCCATGAAGCCGCCCGGGGCCCCAGCTGACAGGCGCTCTCTCTTGTGTCCCCAGGAGCAGGGCCTGGGACCAGGGTGGGAGAACAGCTGCATATGTGGAAGATACACCCAGGAAACCCTGTGGGGGACACAGAAGTGGCCAGGACAGTGAAGAAAGCCCGCCCTCGGTGAGGACCCCACCTTGTCAGGCCTCAGGCACCTAGAGCTCACCTCGCCCGAGTCATCCCCGCCTGTAGGACCAAGTCACGGTCCTGAGCTCAGCTCTCGACTCCCACGACCCCCGCTGTGCCTGCAGACCTGGAAGAGGTGGGGGCCGCAGCTGCCGAGGCTGCACAGTGTGGAGCCTTCTTCTCTCTGAAGAATCCCCGTCGTGCACAGCTTGTCGCTATGGTATCAGGCCCTTCGCTTTGGATTAGCAGCGCCCCCTAATAGACAGGGAGGTCCTTCAGGGCAGGGCAGGACACCTGTGATTTCTGTCTTCCTACTCCCTGGCACGGCACTTTCCGTGCAGTAGGTGCTCTCTGAGTTCTAGGTGGAAGGCAAGTGGATTGACGCAGCTGGCTTTTTAAGTCTTTCTGCTGCTTCTTGGACCCCAAGGCAGAGTGCCTGAGGCTCCTTACCCAAGCTGTGGCTCACTCCTGCAGCCCGGGCCATCTCTCTGTCTCTCTCCGCCCTCACCTTCAATCTCTGCTAACAATTTGCCTACATCACCCTCCACCCCAGTGCCATTTCAGACATTTGCATGGCCTGACCACACAGGAGGTGGGGGCTGCAGGGATTTTCTGGTCTCACGAAGTCCCTTGGCAAGAGTCCAGGAGAGCAGAGCTGGCCTGATAGAGGGGCTGGCTCCAGAGGAGGCTTCCGGGGGCTCCTGCACTGCCCCCAGGGCCCCAAGGAAGTAGCAAGACACACATGTGGCCAAGTGCGGACGGAGATAGTGGTGTGTGTGTGTGTGTGTGTGTGTGTGTGTGTGTGTGTGTGTAGCGAGTCATTGGGAGGGATGGAGGCCTACAGTTGCTCAGCTCCTCCCTGAACTCTTCGTGTTGGGCTGCCAGACACACAGCAGAGATTTCCCAGCAGATCCAAGCCTGGTGGTTCAGGGGAGAAGGCAGCCCAGAAGAACAGAAGGCAGGCACACTCCAGGGCCTTTAACCTGTTACTCACTGAAAACGTGAGCTGTATTTTTTTCTGAGGCCGTCAGGAGTTTAAAAGCTGCTTTCGCTAGAGAAGCAAAAAACCTGAAACCCATGACGGTTCACTGGAGCTTACGGAGGCCCAGTGGGGAACGAAAAGCAGAACAAAGCTTGACCTGCATTTGGTGTCTGCCTAGTGCTGTGGGCCAGATCCCTGCTGCTGTGCATATATAGGCATGTTTATCAGTTAGGGTCTGTCTGTCTAAAAACTGGCCATTCAGGGTTGACCAGCCCTGAATTTACACAACGTACATCACCCCCTTCCAGAATAAAGATATCAAGAAAAGATGTTTACAGGGATGTCCTACCACCACTGGGCACTCAGAAATCTCCAGTCACTGCCCTGAACCGATGGTCACCTTGGATTCCAACAGAGCGTCTGCAAGACTGACACCATTGGGCGAGGGATATAGCTCAGTGGCACAGTGCCTGCTTGGCAAGCATGAGGTCCTGAGTTAGATTCCTGGTACGGAAAAAAAAAAAAACAAAAAACAAACCACCATCCTAACGGAGACAATCATCTTTTTTTGTTTGTTTTTCTGGTACCGGGAATCGAACTTACAACCTTGTACTTTCCAGGCAGGCACTGTTCCACTGAGCTAAATCCCCAGTCCCAAGAGACAATCATCTTAAGGACATCAGATTGCCTTGTCAAGCAATAAGGACTGTTCCCTAGCCACCTTGCAATGCCAGAATTTTGTTTTTCAATCAGATTGTATTGGTACATTTTAGATATACATAACAATTCGTTCATCATTGAGAACTTATACCTGTACATGATATAAGCACAATCAGAATTGAGATAATGATCAACCAGGCTCCAATCCACCTCAGCCACCCCATAAAAACTAGTTTCATTCCTTTGCTGACAGGTCGGCCTGGTCTTCTCCATCAGAGCTGTGCCCCTTCGCAACTCAACTGAAGTTCCTCCCTGTTTCTCTTCCTTCCTAGCTCTGCCTCATAAATCAGCTGATGCCTCTCCCTGATGCGTCCCGAAATGCTTTCCTGCAATGACACCTGAAGCACCTGCTGGGCCATGCTGAGCTGCCCATCTCCTCTCTAGGAGGGCCATCTCAGACCTCATCTGGTGACAGTGCTTTTGTCTCTGAGCTGGACCCCAAGCCCACCTGGCTCTTGAGAAACGCTCACAAGGGTGCCAGTTCCTTGCTGGGGTCCCTGGGGTACTGTTATGACTTGTGTCTAGACGTCCCCCTAGAGGCTTGTGTGGTTATGGGTGGGGCCTCTTCAGAGGTGGCTGGATCTAGTGTGTGATTGACTTATAGTGCAAAGCTAGGACTGAGGGTGCTGGGATTAGGATGGGCGATTACTGGATCAGTCCACTGATTGGTCTGGCGCCGCTCTAATCCAGGTAGCCTGGATACAATATAAGGGACAGAAAGAGGCTTGTCTTGTCCCTTGCTTGCTTTTGTTGTCTTCCGCCTGCCTTGAGCTGTTCTCCTCTGCAGTGCCCCTGTGCCAGCCACCCCTCCTTGGGGCCAGGCAACCATGAACTGAAACCTCTGCACACTGTGAGCTAAATAAGCCTTTCCCCTTTAACTGGGTGTCTGGTAACCAGAAAAGGAACTAAGGCAGGTGCCCAGGGCGTGGGTAGTCGTCGGGAGGGACTGTGCTGAGCTCAGGAGTCAGACTGCAAGCGGTGGGTGTAGCGGCGAGTGCAGAGACAGCACCTGACAGCTGCAGGTGGGTGGGAGGCTGGGCTGAGCCGGGAGCGGCAGCAGGAGGCCGGGTGAGGCTAGAGCGGAGGGGGTGGGAACAGGGAAGGGAAGCTGGGAAGCTCAGCCCTTTGGACATTTGAGTACAGAAACGTGCACTCGTCAGAAAAATATAAACTATTCAACCGAAGTGGCCAGCACGAGACACCAGCAAGTGCTTTCAAGGGGAACTTGAGCCGAGCTTGAGCACCTTGGTAGAAGCTGCAGGAAACCCAGTAAGGGCACTGAAAACAAACACTCAGAGTGATCCTGAAGCCAGACTGATCTGGTAGCTGAGAGCAGACTGCAGAGCCAGGCCTCTGGGATGTACCTCTAGGTGACACTGGGCATCGTAGCCTCCTTATGTTTGTTTTCCTCTTCTCAAAAATGCGGCTGTTCTGGTCCAGAAAATGGCACACCAGTAATTCCAGCTACTCAGGAGGCTCAGGCAGGAGGATCACAAGTTTGAGGTCATTCTGGGCAGCTTTTTTGAGATCCTGGCTCAAGTAAATTAAATTAAATTAAAAAGGGCTGGGAAAGTAGCTCAGCGGTGAAGTGCTTGCCTAGCACCTGTGAGGCCCTAGGTTTATTCCCTAGCAACAGACACACACAGACCCAAGTGCTAACAATCATGCCTCCTTCATTAGGTATTCGTGAGGATTAAATGAGTGAATATATATAGGAAATCCGTGCAAAGTCTGGCACATTTTAGGAGCCACAGATGCTTATGCTGCTATTATGACTGCTTTTATTATTTGGAATTGACATTTTGGACCCGGAACCCACAACAGATCTATGTAGTCTCTTGCTACTTGAAAGTCTATGACCAAAAGCATCCCTATTACCCAGGGTTAGAAGTGAGGGTGCAGGGCCCAAGCCAGCTGCTCTGAGTCAGCCTGAGCTTGACCAGAGCCCCAGGAGAATCATGTGCGCTTGCATTTGTAGAGCACCCAGGAAGCCACATGCAGAAATGAGACAGAGGGGCTGGGGATTTAGCTCAGCGGCACAGCGCCTGCCTGGCAAGTGCGAGGTCGTGAGTTCGATTCCCGGTACTGGAAAAAAACAAAACAACAACAGCAAAAAAAAAAAACCAAACAGAAATGAGACCGAGACCTGGCTCTTTGGGATGAGGCCAACAAGGCAGACTGCCTGGCTGGGGTTTCTCAGGGCCCAGGATACCTCCAGGCGGTGTAGACCACCTGGGCACTTAACACGAGGCACCGCTGCTGTCTAAGCCCAGCAGGGGGCCTACACATCTGTGTGCTGGGACAGCGTGGTGCCCGGGGCCACCAGGGGAGCTCGACGGCTGAGGCCAGAGCCCCAGAGCCCAGGGGAGGCCGTGAGGTCCAGCGGCGGCTTGCTGCAGTACCAGCTGCTCAGGAGGCCGTCTACCTGCTCCCGGCTGCAGATTGCACGTAGGTGGGCCTTCCTGCGTCCACTGTCCGGATCCTCCGGGTCTTCTGGGGGCTCAGGGGGCACCACGGCAGGCTCAGGACTCAGGTGCGAGGCGTCCCGGCGCAGCCCCCAGGCCCGCAGCTCCCCCCGCATGCTGGCGAAGAAGTGCAGCACGCAGCGGTGTGCGAAGTCCCGCGCGTGCTCACAGCAGGTCTCGTCGAAGAGCTTCTGCTCCAGGTCCACGTAGTTGCTCCAGTACCTGCGCTGCAGGAAGACCGTCTGGTCGAAGCAGGGCCTCAGGCAGCGGGCCAGGAAAGCCGCCAGGATCAGCAGCAGGGTGAGGCTCCAGCCGAGGGCCTGGGGAGTGAGGAGGCACGAGGTGGGCACGACAGGGCTCGGGTGGGCACGTGTGGCAGCTCTGCTCCAGAGTGCGTCCCTTTTTATCACCCTCCGTCCCTCAGCTCCATCTGCCTCCCCGCCCAGCCAGCCCTCCTCTCGACTGACACATGCCCCCTCCCGCCCCACCGCCCTCCCTGCTCCTGGCCACCTGCCTCTCCTCCCGGCCTTTCAGGCCTCCTTACTTTCATCCTTCCTTCTCTGGATTCCCCACGAACCGTGCGCCTCTCCTCCTCTGCCTCTTCATCCTTCTCACCGGTTTACCATCCAGCCCCCGCAAGTGTGCCCACCCTGCCGTGCGGGTGCCAGGAGCAGGAAGTGGGGACGAGCCTTCCAGACCAACGGCGAGGGCAGCTGGGGCTGAGCCTGCACCAGGCAGTGCGCTCCTCTCCTCCCTCCCCGGCTACCTACCTGGCTCACGCCCGGAGCCCCTGTCTGACCTGGAGCCTCGAAGACCTTGGAGTCCCTGGCCTTTATAGACAAGATGCCCGATTTACAGGGCTCGTCATTTGGCCACTCACAGGGCTCTCCCACCTCAAACTCAGGGTGCGTATTTCACACACACAGAGCAGAAAAGCAAAGTACTTGCCAAGCGTGACCATGACTGACAGCTGAGCTGGATCGAAGCTGGTCTGGCGGCATTTTCTATGTGTTCGCTATGGACCGAGAAAGACCAGGGGTGCTGCCACCGCAGGGCCCAGCATGGGGGAGGAGGAAGCCAACCTCCATTATTCTGAAGAAGAAACTGAGGTGCAGGGCGCAGTGCCATGGCCAAGGTCGAAGTCTGGGCCAGAATCAAGTGTGTCTCGAGAGCTGGTCGTCTCTCCACAGTTCAGGCCTGTGTTTGCTGTGTGTCTGCCTCCACCAAATAGCAGGGCGTGCGTTCCTGACCGCGGCCCTCCTGTGCTGTGCATGCCACAGGCTCGATTAGTGTCCCTTTAAAAATTTTTTTTTGAACCAGGGTCTCGCTATGTACTTCAGCTGGCCTTGAATTCACTGTGCCTCAAATTTATGGTGATCCTCCTGCCTCTGCCTCCCAAGTGCTGGGATTACAGGCGTGCACCACCTTGTCTGGCTCTCATGTACGCTCTTCGGCAGGCACAGCTCAGGCTCTGGGAGTGGTGGTGACGGAATCTGGAGTCAGCGGGCCTGGAGCGGGCTGGCCCTTAGGATAATGGAGGGGGCGCACTAAAGGGATCTGGGCAGCGGGGAGGGTCTGTGCTGTGTATGCCATCCCTGCCCTGCCTCTTACCCATGGTGTGCGCTGCTGGCCTCCAGCGCTTTCTTGCTGCCAGCCTCCTGCAGGTGGGCTGGGCTGACTCCCGGGAGGTCCCAGCCCTGGGGCCCATCCCGGGGTGAGTTCGTATTGAAGACCTGGTGCCCGCTTCCTAGGCGGATCTGCTGTCCTGACCTCGCCCCCATCCCCGAACCTCCTGCTCTTTGGTTCTGTCTCAGCAGAGAGGAGGGTCTTCGGGAAATCATGCAGACCCGGCCCAGCCCCTCCCTCCAGCCAGTGCAGGACCCTGGTGAGGGCGCAGGGCTCGGGGGACCACCCGATTACCTGGGACAGGCACCGCAGGTAACGAGACACAGCCTTCCGAGCGGGGCTGTCCCTGACCAGCTCGTCCTCCTTGCAAGGCACCTTGGCCAGAAAGAGCTGCACCTGGCTGGGGGTCATGTTGGCCAAGTCCAGGAACTTCTCGGGGTCCACGGAGTTGCTGAAGGCACACACGAAGCACTTGCCATCCAGGAGGGCCAGCAGGATCCAGACCAGGGGCGCGGCCAGCGCCCTCTGCAGCACGGAGGAGCACATGTACCTGGAGTGGGAGAGGCGGGTCACCCTGTGCTGGCCTCTTCCTAGGGCAAGACTGTGGCTGAGTCCCTGCACTTCCCGGTGCTTTCAGTTCCCTGCTTAAAAATGGGTCCAACTAGGGAGCAGCCTGGGGCTGGGGAGAGGATGCGGCTGAGCTCACAGTCGGAAGCTCTTGCAGCAGAGAGCGAGGCCCGAGGGGTCTGCCAGGCCGGTGGGTGAGCATCATGGGCTCCATCAGCCGATTTGGGCTTGGGGCGCCATCTGTGCCAGGCCCGGAGGACATGGGGAGGGGAGAAGGGGGCAGGTGCGGTTCCTGCCCTTGGGGAGCTTGTGGGAGGGGAGACGCGCCCTAAGCAAACCATTGCCTGTCACGACTGGAAAACCCCCTAGGACCCTTCCTGCACGGGCGACTGATACTCCATGGCCAGTGGGACAGACGTGGCCGGGACCTTGTGCTATCAGGTGTGTCCAGCTCTGGCCGTGAAGAGGTGGCCAAGGACAGGACCGGAAGTACATCCTGATGGAAACGGGCAAGTGGGTCTCTGTGACGATGATTCCTACCCAGGGAAGGGAGAGGCTGCAGGAAGCTCACGGCGCCTGCGGGGCACCCAGGGGTGGGGACTGCACCTGACGATGCCTGCGTCCTTCCTGCGCTGCCCCACCGGCCGGTGCCACTCCTCCACCATCACCACGGACTGCCGGTTGACAAGGAGGCCGCAGAGGAAGAGGGCGAGCGGCGGCGTGAGCAGCAGGCCCAGGCCGTAGAGGGTGTTGTAGCGCGCCAGGCAGGGGCAGTTGAAGTCGAAGGAAGAGTAGATCTTGATGGTGAGGGCGGCCAGCAGCAGGCACAGCCCGTTCGTCACTGACTCCGAGCTGGACTGGAAGTGCTGGAAGAGCGCGCGGAACCGCTCCATGGCCGGACGCCGAGCCCGGCTCCCCGGGAGCCTCTCTCCTGCTGCACGAGCCTGGGGGGCCGGGAGGAAGCTGCATCCAGCCCCAGCCCAGCCTCCAGGGTCCGCTGAGGAGTTCAGGCAGAGGTGGCTCTTCCTAGGGATTGTCCATCGCCACTCCCTCTCTCTGCTCTGCGACCAGCCAGCCCACAGCGCCCCTAGGCAAATGGGCACCTGCCGTCCCTCCGCCCTCCCAGCCTGTCCTCCCAGAGCGGGGTGCTGACGGCACAGCTGCTGCACCTGCCTCGGGCACAGGCAAATTCTGGGCGCGGTAAGGCAGAGGCCAGGGAGCCCGTTGCGTTTTCTGCTCTGGGTCAAAACTCTGATGACTCAGTTCGGCCCACAGAGATTTCCTGTGGGCCTTCAGACTGGACGGAAGCCGAGGGGCGCTGGTGCCCGCCTGGAGGCCTGAGGAGGAGGCGGCCCTGGGAGAGGTGGAGGCGCATCTCCGGCTGAGCGGCTCTGTGGGCGCGCAGGGGAGCAGATGGTCAGGTGCGGGACCCCCTGGCAAGGGCAAGGAGGTGAGACGCCTCCGACAGTAACCAGGAAGGCTCTGGATGGGTCCCCGGGAGCCTAGGACTCTGCTCTCTCCACTCCACTCCACTCCACTGTCCTGTGGGGCTGGCTACGACCGGCCCAGTCTGCCCCGACACAGCTCCACACTGCGCTCCTCTGAGCGGGCCGGGCTCCCACAACCGCTGAGCTTGGCGTCCAAGGCCCTCTAGACTGCACCCAGCGCGTCCTCGCACCCTGACCCTCTGCAGACAACCCCCTCGCCCTTCGCACTCCCTCCCACCTGCTGTCCAGAAGGTGGCTCAGGGGCCCAGGCGGCCTGGCTCTGCGCAGCCGTGGGACGGGGGCTCCTGCTGTGGGCATCTCCCCCAGTGCGGGGTGGGACCCCTGTGAGGGCCGGGGCCTGCGCCTGTGGACACCTAATGTTCGCACATGCGGACGCCCCTATTTCTTCCCGGCCCCGTCCTCTCTTCTGAGCTGTGCCCACGCCCCGTCTGCTCCCAGGAAGCCAGCGAATGGGAAGCGAACGAACGGGCCGCAGGCCTCGCCTTCAAGGCCTCTGCCCCTCTCTGCTTGTCCTCGTCTGTCTCATCCTTCCCTGTCTCGCTGCCTCTGCCTCCCTGCGTCTCTGTGCTGCCCTTGGGTCTCTGTGCCCCGCTGCCTGTCTCTGTCCCCCTGTGCTGTTGCCACTTCCTGTCTCCCTCCTAGCGGTGCTGTCGCCTGGCCCGGTTCCAGCATTGAGGGCCTGGCCTAGGGAACAGCAGAGCAGCCCGGGTCCCGGAGGAGCCCCGTCTCTTCCCCGCTTCACGAATTCCCTGGGCCTGGACGATGAGGGGTGGGTCGGGGTGTGGGATCCTGTCCCCACCCACCCAGGCTCTTCCCCACCTTCGTCTCTGCAGCTCCCTCACACCCAGCCCAGGACCGCCACAGGCTAAGCAAGACCTCTGAGCCAGGCACGGCCGGTGCCCACTGACCCTGCTCCGCGCGGGCTGGGCCAGGGGCCCTCCCGCCTCAGAGCCCGGCCCGCCCCTCCTCAGCTGCCTGTGTCAGCGCTGTCGTCCTTCCCAGAGTCTGGGTCTGCACGGTCAGCTGTGCCTCCTGCTGCCCGCTGCTGTCACAGGATGGGCACTGAACTCCCGGGCGCCCAGCCCCAACGCCCGACCCTGCCCAGCTCCGCCCGCCACGGGTCCTCCATGCTCATAGTCTCACACCGCGGTTAGAAAGCGGAAGGTCCCCGTTTTTCTTCTGATCAAACGCATTATTTACGAACATTTACTAACAGGGAGCAGGTTGTGCCCCTGTCACCGCATGTGCCGTGTGTCTGTCTGCAGTGGTGTGTATCCTTCCAAGCACAGGCCAGGGTCCTGGCTGGGGCTGGCCAGACTGCCTGGAGTTCTCGGGAAGGCTGAGATTTCCTGCCTGTGATTTCCACCCCAGGGCAGGTCTTGGAGACCACCGCTCCTTCTCCCAAGGCAGACATCACATGGGTCTCTTGATGGCTTAGTTTTAGTCTTCAAAGGATGACAGCGCCTCCTGGTGGGAAGGATCCTGGTGCTGCAACAGGAATTTTTTGTCACCCTGTATACTCAGACCACCTGGAATATATCATATGCATTTCATAAGACAGGCCTAGGTTGCCTGGGCTGGCCTTAAACTCCTGGACTCAAGTGATCCTCCTGCCTCAGCCTCCTAAGGAATTAGGACCACAAGCATGTGCTACTGTACTTGGCTCACATTTGGGGAAAAGTTTTTAAATTCACACTTATTTATTTGTGGTGGTGCTGGGGATCAAATCCAGGGCCTCACGAATGCTAAGTGAGCACTGTACCTCTTAGCCATGTCTACCATAGCCCTTACCTTTTCTTTTTCTTTTTTGTGTTGTGGGGTGAGGTGGGGTCTTGCTACGTACTAGTTTAGGCTGGCCTTGAACTTGTGGCAATCCTCCTGCCTCAGTCTCCCAGTGCTGGGATTGTCAGTACGTGCTCTCATGTCCAGCTCACTGGGCATCAAACTCAGGACCTTGAGCTTGCCAGGCAGGTGCTGTGCTGCTGAGCAATATCCCCGGCCCTAAGGCTTTAGTTTTTATCTTTGTTTTTTTCTTGAAGATACATTCTTGGGGATGGGTGTCTTCTAGTGTGTTTTGTTTTGTCTTTAGAAAGAATCTGGATATTGAGACATTGTTTTGCCATTGGTGGAGTTCTTGTTACTGAGAAGGCAGGGCGCCCCCTACTGGAGAGATAGTCACATCTCATGTGAGTGATGCACCTGCGTAATTATGTGGGTGCAGGGGGTAATGCTTTGTATATAATGGGTTCGCTTTCTGCTGAGGTTTCTTGTTCCCCTTCCTCTGACTTCTCTCCAGGACTAGGAGACTACTGTTTCCTATTGTCTGGTGGGGCAGCAGGGCCCTTCCTGTCTCTGTGTGACCTGATTCTCTCCTACCCTGAGGACAGGAACCTTCCTGGTCATGGCAGACCTGAGGGAAGGTGACCCTGAAGGGGGCAGTGGAACCAACAGCAGTGGAACACCTGCAGAACCACCCGGAACAAGCTAAACCGAGACCCTACCTCATTCTTTATACCCACATAACTTCCACATGGGTCAAAGATCTAAGCATAAAAATGTGAATCATGAAAGTTAGACAAGAAGCTAGGCATAGCGATGCCCACATTTAACTCCAGCACTCAGAGGGGCTGAGGCAGAAGGATCAGGAGTTCAAGACAAGCCTAGACTAGTGCGGATGTCACAAAACAAACAAAAACCAACCAGCCCACCTGAACAAAACAAAAAACCAGGGGCTGGGGATTTAGCTCAGCGGCAAAAACGCCTGCCTGGCAAGCGCAAGGTCGTGAGTTCAGTTCCCGGTACCGGAGAAAAACCAAAAAAAAAAAAAAAAAAAACAAAAAACCACGACCAAAAACTGGACAAGAGAATGCAGGTGGATTGACTCGTGTCAGAGGCTGGGGAAGGCCGCTGTGCTCGAACCAGCACTCAGCCGCTGTGGAGAAGAAGGGTACACAGGCCTCATGAAAACTAGAAATGTCTGTGGGAAAAAAACCCCAGTGAGAAGAACAAAAATAATTAACCAATAAAAATGTATTTTCCACTCCCACACCATGCAAAAGCCATTTCCGCTATTTTGCAGAAGGTTCATGTGAACCACTTCAAAAGAAGCGCGATCCTCCAGAAAGGAATGGGTAAAGGCCATGAGCGGGCCATTCACGGAGAAAGACAAGCGTTCAGAAATCCCGCAAAGATCCAGCTCTTCGGGCTGGGGATTTAGCTCATCGGCAAAGCGCCTGCCTGGCAAGTGCAAGGTCGTGAGTTTGGTTCCCGGTAACCGAGAAAAACAAAAACAAAACAAAAAAAGATCCAGCTCTTCATTCAACCTTAAATGAGGATCGGGACAAGCAGGTACTATGGGATGTTTTAGACAACCCAATTGTTGGAAACTAAAATGCTGATGACGCCCAGTACTGAGGTGCCTTGCGGGGGGGGGAGTCGCCATCCTACACTGGTGTTCAGAGGGCAACATACGGAGCTTTTGTAGGATGTTTGCCAATACGCTTAAGCAAAAGTTGAAATTTAATCATGTAGCCCTGGATTCCCCCCAGAGGAAGATATTCCCCCTAAAGCTCTTTTCATTTTACAGAGAGAAGAACAACCTGTCCCCACCACTTAAGGTGTGTTGATTGCCTTGAGGGCTCCCCGAAAAGTTTGCCAGAGACAAAGGGGCCGCTCACTACCAGGTAGGGGCTGGGGACAGAATACAGAAGGGAGGAGGAGCAGGGGGGAGAGGAGAGGACCCCAGGGCTCCCACCCTCTGGGGAAAGGCGGGCAGAGACCCCAGGAAGGCGGTTCCCTGCTCTGACTCAAGGGCGGGAGGGCATTTGATGATTTAAGGCTCACCGGGGAGGCCTTGCCTGACTCCTAACCCCTAATCGCCTTTCCCCTTCTGCCACCGAGTCTTACATTCTTATGTAGTTGCATTTGTCATACTTTGCCTTTACTTCTCTGGTCTTTGTAACGTCGTTGGAAAGCACTTCCTGCCAAACAAAGGCCACTGAGGACATCTAGGAGAGAACCAGAGTGCCGGGCACCGCAGCCGTCTCCAGCGTCCTCCTTTGGTGTCGGTGAAATCTGTCCTGCGGGCTAGCGTGGCTTCCCCTGATGCCTGCGCCGCTTCCTCCAGGGAGGACTTTTTCTTGCTTGTCCCAGGCTCGCCCTGCAGAGCCAGTTTCTCCCTCACCCTTCACTTTTACTTTTTCGAATAAACTTTGTCACCCCCTTGAAAAAGAAATCTATTCTGTGTTCAGGAGCAGCAGAACCTCTCTGGCTAAACTGCAGACAGCAAGCCCCGGTCCCAGCCCTGGGGCGTCTGAAGGGTGTCTCAAGCAGGGAGGCGTGGGCTCAGGAGCTCAGAGTAGAGACCTCCCTGCAATAGCTGTCTCCCGCAGGCTGGGGACTCCAGGGAATCCCAGCCTGGCGTGTTGGGGGAAGGCTGGGCTCAGAACATCGAGAGCAGTTGCTCTGCGATTCGCTCACCATCCTGGAAAGCAACTTGGCTTCCCTACGCCGAAGGATTTTCAAATGGGAGGAGGAGCAGTAGCAATGACAATAACTGCACCTACCTCCTGGGGCTGCTTCCAGAACCTACGCGCCTGGGCCTGGCGCACGTGAGTGAGGGCTTCATGAGGGTCACCGGCCACAATTATCTGAGCAAGTAGCCCTGGGGTGGGTCACTGGGTGCTGGACTTCGAAGTGATGACAACTCATCCTCTTTCTGGCATTAGACATCTTCTGCAACACTTTTTTTTTTTTGTTTTCTGAGACGGGGTCTCGACTTTTAGTGCAGGCTGACCTTGAACTCTATGTAGCTCAGGCTGGCCTCGAACTCACAGAAATCCTCCTGCCTCAGCCTCCTGAGTTCTGGGATTCAGGTGTGCGCCACCGTGTCTGGCATAACTGTATAGATTTTGTTTTGTTTTGTTTTCGTTTTTTGGTCTTTTTGAGATAGGGTCTCGCTCTGCAATTCAGGCTGGCCTTGAGCTCACTTTGTAGCCCAGGCTGGCCTTGAACTCACAACGATCCTCCTGCCTCAGCCTCCCGAGTGCTGGGATTACAGGTGTGCGCCACCACGCCCGGCTTAGATTTTTTAAGGGTCTGGTTGAGACTGGAAAAAAACAATAACTGTCTCTAAATTATGAAAGGAAAACTTCAAAATAAAAATTAAGAGATGTTTAGGTTCAATGCCTATAAAATTTAATGTTATATCAATTTCATTAATCATTAGATATAGTACTCATAAAGATTTCATTATATTTGGAGAAAGTCATAGGTTTTTCTCACTTGGCAAGAAATCTAACACATGCATGACTGCTTCGGAATAAAACCAGTTGTAAATTCACTGAGTTCTTTGTAGTCCACTGATTGCCAATTTTGTAAAAATCCTTTCCAAGTATTTAGGGCAAGAAAATGATGTCTCATGTGGGAGGTGATGTGTTTTAGTACAGTCGACTGGATGGACTTGGGGCCCAATGATAACAGTCTGGGGTCCACGAAGGTCTTAGAATTGATCTTGGATGAAGGGACTGATTCATAGAGGCCAGGTCTGTCCACAGAGCAGGGAAAGGGAGGAGTCTCCTCTGGCTAGGTGCTGGCCTTGCTGCGGAGGCAGCCCACGCTGGCCTAGTTCCCCACATTCCTGGGGAAGCCTCGGGTCTTCTTTAAGCTCAAACTCCCTGCCAGAGCATGTGACCACACGGCACGTTCCCAAGCCTTGAGCACAAAGCCCTGTGTCAGAGTTTTTGGGGCAGAATGGCGTGGGGCAGACCTGGGGACCTGCACCCCAGTGACCTCCCGTCTCCCCCAGCTCCTGTAGGAGAGGCTAACGTACACCTGTGTTTGAGGATGATGGGTCTGCGGCGTGCAGGCCCCAGGAGGAGGACCCATGTCTTACTCTCACTGGTTCATTCAGTGCACGTTCCACGCTCCACAGCATGGACACAGCAGCACATAGAGCGGGGCGATAACCATGGGAATGTCCTTGCAGAGCCTGTATACTCCAGGCTAGGGGTACACAACTTGCAAAGTTACCTGGCACTGACCGCCTGGCTCTGTGAGCAGCACCCGGCCGGACCTCCGTGCGCTCAGCCTGCGCTTAGGCCTGGGAGTTGGGGAACTGGGACTGGAGTACACAGAACCCCAGCACAGGCTCCCCGGGGTGTGTGCAGGGAAATGGCACCTCGCCCCACGCCGGGCATACAGTTCACGCTCAATTAATGGCCGTGAGCAATAAGTAAAGCTGAGCGTACCTGGGGCGAGCCGTGCGGTGCCCGTTCCGTGTTGAAATGGGTAGCACAGAGCGCCGTTCCTTGGAAATTCTGTGGGAAGGGGACTCTGCAGAAGGGGATTAGCAGCTCAGGTTGGTCCCCGAACGCTCTCTGGCTGGCTGGGTGGCTGCACTGATGGGTTAATCCGTCTGGTTCTTTTTCACTCACTGATTTAAAGTCAGTGTATCAGGCACATAGGGGTGTCCCTCCAACATGCCCCCCCAATTCCGGCAGGACCGTCTCCTATGGTGTTTCTCATGGCCTGATGAACTGCAGCTGGCTGGGCCTCTGGACACCAGGGCCGCCCTGTGCCCCAGTTGGGATCCTAGGCTACCTCTTGACTCCAGGGAGGAGGCGTTGTCCCGCTAACTAGAGCAGCCCCAAGTTCAGGGGAGCCCAGTGTGCTCCATGAGTGGGGGCCCGGCCCCGGGCTGGCCCTGTGCTCGGCATGGGGGACTCAGAGAAGGAAGGAAGCGGATGCCCCTCCTAATATTCTGTTTGAGCCACGTGGTTGATAGAAGACTTCAAGACTTGAACTTGTTTGGGTGGGAGCAGTGGGGCGTGGGAAGGAAGGGAAGGAAGAGAACCAGGAGGGGGGCGCAGGGACAAGGGGTAGAGCAGAGGGTGGAAGAGCCGGGAGGAAGGAACGCTGGGGGAGGGGAGGAAGACAAGATGGGAGCAGGGAGGAGGAGAGGAAGAGGGAAGCGAGGAGCCGGCCAGAGGGGAGACTAACAGGGTGAGGGAAAGCGGGTGGGGTCGGAGCTGCAGTTGAAGGGATTCTTGGGTGTCTGGGGTCCCTGCTTCACACACATACACACCCTTGGCTCCACCCTCAGCATCCACCGTTGCTGGGAGTGAGGTTGCCATGGTGACAGGGGTGGGAGCACCACCTTGTGAGTATTAATAGCTTGCATTGAAGCCACCAAAACTGTGACTTCATCCAGCCCCAGCCTCCCAAGCAGGTTCCCTCTCCCCCGCCCAGGACAGGGCTGGGCGGCCTCTCTGCCGCTGGCAGCTGCTGTGGTGGAGAGCGGCTAGGAGGCCTGGGGCTCTGCCCAGCACCTGCTCAGGGGCAGAGGATGCTGGTGGTCTTTGATCCCCTGAGCTGGGCTGAGGAAGGTTTCTGGAGCATAGGACCCTTTGAGAGTCAGGCCCAGCCTTTCAGGGTCCCACGGGACCATCTCCTCATCTGCGAGGTCACTGCTTGGCCAGGATCTGCATCCAGTCAACAGTGGTGCCCCTCCTCTCACCCAGAGCTCCCTGGGAGGACAGGGAGGCTGGGGAGAGGCCCAGGGCACGGCGCAGGCTGTGCCGGTGTGGAGCGGCACCTTCACGGCTCGGACTGGGAACTTCCTGCAGTTTTGCTTCCTTGCCCATCCCGGCCCCCACCCTGGTGATCCTCCCACATCTCCACGACCCTCTTAGATCCCGCGCTCAGCATCCTGCCTTTCTTTGAGGCTTCCTGGGATCAGGCTGTCTCTGTACTCAGGACAACCCCGAGCTCAGTCCCTCACTGCCCTCTTCCTTCCCCTTGACCCTCATCTCTCCAGGTACGTCCACAGCCCCAGGCGCAGGCCGAGTGGGACATGTGACATCCCTGCTGTCTTCTGCCTTTGGGCCTCACACCCACCCCGTGCCCAAGCCATACAGCCTTGTGGTTCCAGGAGGGCCAGGTGGGACGCTCTAGGAAAGGCGGGAGCCCAGCCTGCCAGGCACCATCCACAACGCCCCAGGCCTTTGCGCCTCACACTCCGGAGGGGATTGGCCTCCTCTGTAGGAGTCCTCCTGTTCATTCTGACAGCCACGCTTGGTAACTCCATTCCAGCAGATTCCAGGGGCTGCCGCGGTGCACTTGTACAAGTGAGGGTGCAAACTGCACAGTACAGCGCACTCGCACGGTGCGGAGGTGCGTGTGCAAATGCGTGAGCGTGCTGCTATTCAGAGCCCAGGGAACTCTGGCCTATGAGTCATGGTCGGGAGGGACCCCTGGGAGGACACTGCCCATAAATAAGACAACAGTCCCCAACCCGACACACGCCACGCCTATTCCACAGTGGGGGGCATGTGAGCTTGGGCATCGAAGAGGCTGGGGGCCGGGGTCAGGGGCTGGCTGTCCCTCCAGACTCCAGAGAGCGCTGGCTGCAGATGTCTCTGGCTCGCCGTGGGTCTCCTGACATTTGAGGGTGGAGGCAGAAGGGGACCAAGGGGTGGCCTGGAAGGCACCAGTCCCCCTGCCGGCTGAGGGCAGGGGCACACAGCCATTCTGCACCCACAGGCTCACTCTGCATAGGCCTTGTGCTGTCTAGTGGAGAGACGGGGTGGAAATGGGGGGAGAGGCCTCTCGGGGATGAATTTGGATACAAGCTATGAACAATAAAGCAGAATAATTGTCGGGAAAGTGGCTGAGGGTGGCGGGGCTCTTTAGCCGGGGGTGGTCAGGGAGGGTCAGTGTCTGAGCTGTGCCTGTATAATGAGATATGGGTGAAGATCACCTAGAACAGGGCGGGTGAGCCTGCCGCTGCCCGTCCACGTCTCCATGGACTCTGGAGCAGAGCTGCTGAGTGCAGACCAGGGCGCTCAGGTGACTAGAGGGCTGGGGAGGCTGCTTCTCTGGCGGTGGGTGGGGCTGGGGTATCTTCTCCCCCTGAAACACTGAAAGGGATGCCCCGATTCCGGCTGGAGGAGGAGGATTTCCTGTTCGCATACCGCAGGCTTCTTGAGCTACGCTGGCGGAGGAGCCGTGTGAACAGGACACTTGCACAGCCCTTTCTCTGGGAAGCCCCTTTGACTGACAGAGGCCATGGTCGGGGTCCGACAGCTGATAGAACGCTCAGCTTGCGGCTGCTTCTCTGCTGGCGTGTCCAGGCCTCTTCCCGCTCTGCCCACCCCTCAACCTTTCACCGTCCATCTGCTGATGGGCATAGAGGCTGCTTCCAAGGTAGCTGTCATATACCGTGTCGTTGCAAGCATGGGTGGCATGCATTACTGTAATGTGATGACTTTCATTCTTCGGGAAAACACCTGGAAGGGTCAAATGGAATTGCTATTTTTAGCCTTTAGAGGCTTCTCCACACTGCTTCCCACAGTGGTTGTCCTAGCTGCATTCTCACCAACAGTGCAGAAGGGCTCCTCTTCCCTGCCAGTATTTGTTATTATTTGATTTCTTTTTTTAAAAAATTATTTGATTTCTTGATGATGGCCATTCTTTCTGGGGTAAGGCGGCCTCTCAGGGTGGTTTCGATCTGTGTTTCCCTAATAACAGCGATGGTGAGCCTTTCTCAGGTATTAGCTATCTGTACTTCTGAGAATGTCGATTCAGCCCCGCCTGCTGCGTTCTTTATACATTCTGGATGTCCATCTTCTGTCCGGGTCATAGCTGTCAGATTTTCCCCAGTCTTGGGGCTCTGGTCTGTGAGCACCCGAAGGGCCCTGCGCTGCGAGTCCGGAATGGATGTGCT